GCATTGAGCGTAGGAATCTCATCCGTTGCAAAATTGTTGGCCGTACCGGTAATATTATCCCAGGAAGTTTTCTGGATACTAAAGCCCACGATGGCATCCACATCATGTTTGCCAAAAGAGCGCTTGTAAAAAAGCATATCCTCATTCAGCAGATCTGTCAGCTTGGTTTGGGAAAAGATCGCACTCGATGTCGTTCGGGCATAAGCTTCGCCATCCAGTATCGCATCTGCCCTTGCCCATGATTTCTGAAAGTAATTGCGCTCGTTATGACTACCGGTATAACCTGCTGTTGCTTTAAAATATAAGTAAGGGTTGAAATTGTACTGGATGTAGGAATTCAGGATATTTCGGATATTGGTGCGCTTGTCAGATATGCCGTCGATCATAGCCAGCGTACTGTTGCTGGTAGATGCTGAAAGGCTGATGCCCTGGAAGGCCGGGTTACGGTTAGGATCGAAGTCGCGCTGGCTGGCGTAGGAGCCGACCGGTTTCCCGGTTGCTGCGGCCGTCTGTTCTGTGTGGTACAAAGGCAGCCAGGACGGCGCATTCCGCACTGCTTCCTGCGCATCTACAGAAACGTTATAGAATTCGGTATAAGAGGGGGTGAAGGTTATACCTGCCTTCAGTTTTTTATTGAGGTTGGCGTCCAGCCCTACCTTGCCACCATACCGGCGATAGTCATTTCCTTTCATCACGCCATCATCCCGCATAAATGTGCCACCCACGTAATAACGCACCGTTGAATTACCGCCATTGGCGTTCACACCGGCATTGGTATAATTGCTGGTACGGAAGATCGCATCCTGGATATCGCTGTTGGCATCATACTGTTCGGCCAGGCTTATCTGGGCGGGTATCTCCCCATTATTTTGTGCGGCTACATAATTCTTCCAGTCGCCCAGGGAAGTGCGGGGCAACTTGCGGTAAACTTGCTTCATACCGGAGGCCAGGTTGATACCAATGCGCTGGCGGTTGGCACGACCGCTTTTGGTAGTGACCAGCAACACGCCATTACCACCGCGCGAACCATACATAGCTGCCGAGGCCGCATCTTTCAACACTTCAATGGATTCCACATCGCTCATATCAATGGCAGACAGATCTGTGGGCACGGGGTAACCATCGATGACGATAAGCGGCGAAGTGCCTGCGGTAATGGAAGTAGCACCGCGGATCTGTATGGTGGGCTCCGCCCCAGCCTGTGCATCGGTTTTCTGAACACTTACTCCGGCCAGCTTGCCCATCAGTGCGTCATCGACTCTCGATACCGGGATCTGATCCAGGTTATCATTGGTAACTTTAGACACGGCCCCGGTCAGGTGTGATTTTTTGACAGCGCCATAACCGATCACCACTACTTCATCTACTTTATTGACTTTGCTGACGAGGGTTATATTCAGCTCCTGGTTGTCATTAATCACAAATGATTGCTCTTCATACCCCAGGTAGCTCACTATGATCTTCTGCCCTTTATGGACCAGTATCCTGAATTTGCCCGAGGGGTCGGTTGCCGTTGCGTTCCGGGAAGAGTCGGCAACCCGTACCACCGTTCCCGGTACCGGGAGCTGATCTGTAGCGGCAATGACTTTACCGGTAACGGTATATTGCTGCGCCGCAGCGGTAAAACTGCATCCGGCGATGATGAGCAACAGCACTAGATACTTGGAAAGGTATGGGTACGGCATCCCTTATGCTATTTGGTGAGGAAAAAAATATTGTTTGTGCTGACCGGTTATGCCTTCAGCCAGAAATCCTCAGTCCTGCTGATCTCCAGTATTTCATTCAGGTGGGCGGCCATTGCCGCTTCAGCCGCTTCCGGGGCCTGTGCAATAATGGCATCCAGTATATTGCGATGTT